TTCCTCTTAACAATTGAAGTTGCGTTTCACTGATATCCAGGGCAACAAATCATGGTTTGATTATTTCTTTTTGGTAATTGGTATCCACCGGGGAGGCCGTACGCCATAATAGGTTAGGATCTCATTTGTTACACGATTATACTATTTAAGGTAAGTCTAGCAGTGGGGCACTACCGAATACCGTCGAGAAATGGTTGAATTATGATTTGCTGTTGGGTGTCAGCTGCACAACGTGTTTTCAAGTGAATTCAGCCTAATGGGGCTTTAATAGAATAGCTGAATGCTCTTCAAGTTTGCCAGGCAAAATTGTTTTTGAACTTTTCAGAAGAAGAGTCAAGTGATCATGTTCTATATTGTAGCTGAAATGAAATGGTTACGCCTCTAAAGGAGGTATCACACAGGGTAGTTTCTCATTTAAAAAAAATCATTACGGGAGGCAACTCGAATTTGCAAGTAGTTGGGATCAAGAAAATCTTAAAAGATATAATTTGTATGTTTTCAATATTCCAATATTCCCCAAGAAATCTGGGTGGTCAGGGGGCCGTACTAAGCAGTACTATGACTTTATTAAAATGTTTTTACTAGCTTGCACAAAATTCAAATATGCAGGTAATTGATTTTCTAATCAAACATTTATTTATAATTTTAGGTTGTGTGTTATGTTTTAAGCGAGAGAATTCACACAATTAATGGGGTTTCTAAGTGAATTTTTCAATTTAAAGGCAATTTCGTTTTTCTATTACAGGCTTTTGAGTCCTCTCTAGGGTTTTAAAATGGTATTTAACTAGAATCGCTAGCGTTTACGGTTTTTGAGAAAATCGATTTTGAATTCTTAGACAAAATGTCAACTAAAATTCGACTTGCAAGCCCAAGATCTTGTAAACCCCAAAAGGTACGAAAACCAATTTTGCACAGCTTTATAAAGAATTTAATGCTCTTTCGAATGATATATAGTTTTTTTCACATTGAAATTTCCAAATGTAATTGATGTTGAAGTTGTTTGTGACTAATTTGGACTCGCACTATCGATTTCTAAAGTCAAAATTAGGAAAAATTCAAAAATGGAAATTTTTAATTTTTTGCATTTTTTTCCAAGGGTACCTACCCCTTTTGGATTTTCATTTGGAAATTTTGAATCTTAAATGTGTCGGTAACCAAAAGCGGTACTGGAACAGAAATTATAGCCCTTGATAAGGGCTACTAGTTAGTATTTATTTGAGATCGCTAGCATTTACCGTTTTTGAGAAAATCGAGTTTGAAGTTTTGGACAAAATGTAGATTAGACTAAATTTCAACTTTGAGGCTCAATATCTTTGAAACTCTACAAACTTGAAAACCCAATTTTGCACAGGTATTATAGAGAATTTATTGCACTTTTCAATGATGTATGATTTTTAATAATTTGATCAAAAATAATCGAAGAACAATTGAGAAACCTCAGAGTTTTTAGAACAATTTCAGAAAGCAATTTCTGGGTTGCGCAGTGACTGTTATAAGTAGTAGACACCTTTTGTTTATCGCTCTAAAAAATTGAAGATATCTCGTTCAATTAAGAGGGAAAATAGCCAAATATTAGAACAATTAGGATACAATTTAGAATTGGAAACCGTTTAGAACTCTATTGAACCAATTGAGAACATTTTGGAGCTTTAACAGCCATTTAGAACACTTTCCAGCGACATTTTGAACAATTTAAAAACCTCGGAATTATTTCGGAGAGCCTAGCGCCTGGAATAGACAAAAATTGAATCAAGGTTTGTTCCAAAACCGTCCCAAGAACGGTTTCGAAGCCACTTTGTATACGATTTCCGGATTCTATGCTTTGCGCAGATTCTTGACGGTACTTTGTACAGTTTTCTGCTTTGTTGGAACAAAGCTAACATAAATTTTGAAAACAAATTTAATACTAATTCGGCCCTGTATAGCTAAAAACAGGGGATTTACACTTGCCGTCGGGGTACTACTATACTACGCAGTTAGTTTTTTTTTACCTATCTCACTTTCTCATATTTATAATCTTATGAGTTTACCTTTTTTTTATGTTGGCGGGGCTTTGAGATTCGGATTTCTTTGTCGGACAAGACAAAGGGATTTAGTCAAGAACCGATTGCCGATAGATAAAGTACCGACAGTGACGACTGGGAATTATCGATTTTCCTCACACAAGCTAAGACTTTTCGGCCACCATTTTCCGATTATAGCGTCATGTGCCCAGTGTATCAATGGCTACTGGATTTTGGTGAGTAGTACCAACAATTATTTTTGGTAATTGGGATTTCTGGATTTCTTCAATTTTGAATGAACAGCCTTTGATTTTTAGGATAAAATTTTGAGTCTGGAACAATCCAGAACTTTCTTATTTATAGTTTTTTTTTTGTTAACTTGAATAGTTATTGGGCAACTAGTAAATTTTATAGAGAGTCTTGAGGTCCAGGAATTAGAACTTTTAATGTCAGAGAAAGAAGTTTTCCATAAAATCTTACGTACCTATTTCCATCATAAATTTTTTTTGACTTGGCTTTCCAAAAGTGCGAAATTTCCAGAAAATCTTACGTGCCTATTTTCATCACTAATTTTTTTTGACTTGCCTTTCCAAAAGTGCGAAAGTATGGATGAATTTTGTGTGAGAGATGAATGATCCAGAAAAATTCTAGATGTAGGTGCTGCTGTAAGAGAATGCAGTGTACTGTTTGAAAATAATGCTGTATGCTGGATGTAGGTACTGTTACAATAGAATGCTGGAGTGTCCCAAAAAAATTGATTCATAGCTACAAAATCATCCAAAGGTGTTTTTGTTCAATGCTCCAATGTCTTAAAAGTGTCACAAAATAAGTCAAATTAACACTAACCTAAATTTTGGATAATTGCTAATGGTAGTCCACTAACATTTTTAACTATTCCCAAAATGAATTCGCTATAAAGGTGCAAATTATCACACAAAAATACTCTTTAGCTGATTGCTAGAGATATGTAGCTATCCAGTTGTAGCTATATTTTCCGAAAACGCAATTTGAAAGTATTTAATTTCTTTGAGATACTCATGGAGATGTTGGGTGTACTCTTAGCACGCCAGTCATTGAAGGATTTATGAGAACTCGGTCAATATTTGATTAGTAGGACTAATAATAGGTACGCCAGGAGCCAAGCTAATTATCTGGACACTTTGAAACACGAGCTGAAACGTTCTGTTGACATGTTCTTGATGTTTATATGAGCATTCTCTTTACATTCATTAACAAAAACATAACTTATTAGAGCTGACTTTCATTTTTCAAATGCCTGGATTATGACTCAGGTTTTCATGTTAACAAGTAAATTAAGTTCAGGGTGGTTCCCTATAAGTAAATTGAACTTCTGTTGATGTTTAGGTTTTATAAATAACTTTGAAGTATTTGATGTTTTTCTTCCATGTTATAAGCACATTTTAATTGATTTGAGTTATCAAACTACAAATCCACGAACAATTTTCCTGCCGTTGTGTTACTTTTTTTAGGTGAGCCCCCTGTAAGCAAGCAAAGTCCAGAAGTCATCTGAGCCTAATCAATATCACTTCTGGTGAAAATTGCTAGACGGTTTTTTGAGAGGTACATATTTATTTTGAAATTTTAGTATGATGAACTCCTAACTTTCCTTTTTTTCTCTTGGAGGTTTCATAATTTTCCCTTCAGTGGTTTTCTAGAAAAAAATTGAAATGCAAGAGGGTGTATTTTTGTTTAATTTGAGTTTTGCAAGTTGATATTCATTAATTTCTTATTTTGTTATTCTTTGCTGGGAAAATTTGAAATGTTAGTATGATGAGCTCCTAACCTTCCTCTTTTTCTCTTGGAGGTTTCATAATTTTCCCTTCAGCGATTTTTCAGAAAAAAATTTAAATGTAAGAGGGTGCATTTTTGCCTAATTTGGTTGATTTTCATCAATTTCCCATGATGTTATTTTTCACTGGACAAGTTTGTAGTTTTAATATGATAAGCTCCTAACCTTCTTATTTTTTACTGAAAGTTTCATAACTCTCCTAGTTTTTCAGAAAAAAAATTAAATGTAAAAGGGTGGTGCATTTTCGCTCAATTTTGATTTTGCAAGCTAATTTTCATTAATTTCCCATTTTATTATTTTTCATTGGATAAGTTTGAAATTTTAGTATGATGAGCTTCTAGCTTTCCTCTTTTCCTCCTGGAAGTTTCACAATTTTCCCCCCAGTAGTTTCCCAGAAACAAATAAAATGTGATATCACTGAAAATAATAATAAAATAAAAATAAATTCAACCACTGGATCCTCACTGTATGAACTTTCTGGGATCCCAAAAAATGAACTATTTGCCCTCAAATCAAAAGATTTCCTTGAAGCTAGTTTAAATTGAAATTCGTTGAATAAAAAGAGAAATTTTTGGTAACCAAACAACTAAAACAATGTAATTATGAGCTCTTTGATCCTATTCTCCAACTATAAAACTTGTGGCTCATGCCGATTCCAACGAGTTTCTCGCCCCAAAAACTTCTTGTTGCATAATGCACCGAAACATTTTCCTTGCGGCATTAACTAGTCAAAGTGAAAAACTTGGAAAAGCGCCTCCGTTTTATATTTTATAAAACCGACCATAATAAAAACACCCGGCGATATAATTTTACAATGTTTTCCGTCTATATAAGTATATATTTAAAAAAAAAATTAAATAATCGCAACATGTTTATGATAAAATATTGTCACAAAGATATCTCCTATAACGAGTTCCACAATAAAACAACGACTGCACACGCTCTCGCTCCAAATGGCAATACATTACAATTAGTCTGGTTGTAGCAGACGTTTATTGCTAGACAAGAGAATGCAAAGTTAATAAAGGTTAAATGAAATAAATGAAGCGAAATTAAATACTCTGTTTTGTGTTGCCTAGGGAATGGTTTCATATAGAAAGGTATAATTTTAGTTGTGTAAAAATTTATATAATTGAATATTATGTTTGTGGTTTCATTAAGAATACATGTTGAATACAATTGCTTACCTGTAAAACCAAGGTTTGATTGCTAACTATAACACCGGTAGTTGCGTTGCTTAACAGTCTTTCCCCGTCTCTGAGCCACCATACTCGATGTACCTAGAACAATGTAGTTATCATTAAAATACACATTAACGTGCTTGAATTTCATTCAAATAATCTTCAACTGGTATTATAGATATAAATCTGCAATTTTCTCAGAATATTTTCGTAGGAGAGACCTATACGAATCCTGGAAATTTCAGCTCATTTGGAATTATAATTCCAGAATATGGTGATTTGTGAATAGCTCAATTGTTAGCTCTTGATTGGCGGAAGGAGGAAGGGTACTTGAAAGCAGGAAAAATCTATCAAGAACTGAAAATAAGAATGAGATGCAATTTAAATTTCAATCCATCCTATATATTCAAACAAAGATACAATTAAATTGAAAAAAAAAAACAACTTTTTCTATCATAAATCCCTATCTATACTATATATATAACAGTCAAATATTAGTATAACATAATCCGATTTCTTTCGGATTAAACAGCGGGTGAAAGCGCTGGGAACAACTAGTTATTCATAGATGCTGCTTCATCCTTGTTAACGAAATGACTTTACATTTAGACTAATTCAAGTACATTCCATTTTCATGGCACCAGTTTCCCAAACTTTCTACGTCATCTTGTAGCAACTTGCAATCGTTATGGGAAGAGATTGATTGGGAAACTTTTGAGTCATATCTTATCTACTTCCCGAGTACGTTTTGTGAATATTACTCTTCATTCACTTTGGATTTTATGGAAACTAGTTTTAGTACAGTGCACTGGAAATATTGAAAGTTACACAATATTTTCCAATTAAGAGAAATCTTTTATTAGATACGACAAAACCGTATTCAATTACATGCTTTTCCCAGCTAGTTTAAATGTGTATCATAAACGTTGAATAATTTCAATAATGATAAACAAATATGTATCATGCGCTTTCAAATTATGAAGAAATTATCGTAAGGGTATCAAAATACTTATTTTTATTTTAGAAAAATCAACCACAATATTTTGCTGGAGCAAAAATAGAACGCATAGAATCCATGCATTCTAAAACGAATCTGAAACGTAAAATTCGGAAGAAAAATGTGGCGACGAAATATGATATTCTAGTCTTCTTTTTTTGGATTTGGTTTAGAGATAAAGTTTCTTTTCTATACTGTACGAGTTTGTTTGTCAACATTTGCATTTTAAAGTAAAGAATTGAGGAACTGATAACTGGATAATTTCGAGTGAAATATATTATTCTCTAAGGCCCAGTTTATTCATCCTCAAATAATAATAACTTTCTGCAAGATAAATTCACCGTATAACAGGTATGTAGGTTCTACCGTGGAAAAAAGGATTAAACACAGAATACTTCTATTACTCAAAATATTGTTCACATTTTACAGGTTGAAATAAATAATAATTAGGCACTAGCTGACGTCACACACATAGCCTCAGTTCCGTTGGGGGGACAAACAAAGCGTTTTGAAAGGTCTATTTAACACACAGGTGCTAACTTGTCACCAATGACATAACGTGACTTTCGATAGGGGGACAAACATGTCATTGAGGTTATGTGTGTGACGTCAGCTAGCGTCAGAAGTTTCACTTTTTCTCTTTCTTTTCTTTTTAGGTTAGGGCGTGTTCCGTTTGGTATCGGAGAATCTTCGGTTTGGTATATGAGGCGTGTTCCGTTTTTTCATATGGTGCGTTACAATATCCCCCGTTGCACCACACGTACGTCCACATGTGTGGGGCAACAAGAAAAGTTGGGGTTGGGCACAACAACAACATCTTGTACTAGATTACAGTCTTTATGAATTTCCACTGCATCGATGAATGCGTTAACCTCAGCATTTAAAGAACCATCAAACCTTGAATTACATTTTGCTAAGTTTCCAGTAGGAGCTGGAGCTTGATAAGCAGCCTGTTGCTGAGGGGCTACAGTTAAGCGAGACATCAGCTGCTGAGCTCATATTGTTATTTAGGTTACAAATTCTACGAGAACGAAGCTCGTAAGGGCTCCTAGATGTGGATAGTGTCGATGAACTATCTGGTTCCTCTGAATCACCAAAGTAATTAAACATCGAGTTACTTACAGTCTTGGACATCTATTTAAACAATGCTCGAAGTCCAAAATTGTCCGACACACACGGGGCAAAATCGGGGCGAATCAATTTAACAAAACAGTCTAAATGGCGTCCGATTGGTAGATCTAGTGCGGAACTAGTGCAATTTTTTCTATTTCTGTCTTTTTCTTCTACAGGTCGATTAAAAGGATGCAAATACACTCAGTGCGCACTGCATCTACCAATCGGAAACGCCATAAAATGTCACTTGTACGATTGCACGGAGTCCAAAATTGTCCGACACTCACGAGAACAAAATCGGGGCGAATCACTTACAATTGTTTTTTAGAATTTTTTGTGGGGGCAGCAGCACACTGCATTGAAAAAGAGTTCTGATAATCCTTTCACGGCCCCACGTTGGGCGCCATTATAACGGGTATGTAGGTTCTACCGTGGAAAAAAGGATTAAGCACAGAATACTTTTATTACTCAACATAGAATGTTCACATTTTACAAGTCGAAATAAATAATAATTGCAAAAGCGAGGCAAAAAGCAACTGATTATCAACAATAACAAAACTTGAAGTGTGAAGTTTGACTTTTTCTCTTTCTCTTCTTTTTAGGTTAATGCGTGTTCCGTTTGGTATCGGGGAATGATCGGTTTGGTATATGGGGCGTGTTCCGTTTTTTCATATGGTGCGTTACAAAGTTTTATAATTCTATTGGTCGACGGTTGACTGGCCGACTGATAAGAAAACAAATTGCTTTATTATCCATCAGATTGCATACTTGACAGTTTATCAGAAGGTGAATAAACTGGCCCTAAGAAGAATGGGCTTATCTTCATCAAGATTTAGGTTTCTTTCATAAACAATATTTAAATATGTTATTTTTAAGTCACATTAAATTTTCATCCTCCATTTAAATCCGTATAACATGTAAGCTAAAAATAACAATTCATATTTGGTTTGGTTTTAAATTATCAAAAGCCGTGGGAGGATCAAAAGCGAAACGCCAGAAAAGTTTTCGAAAAAGCCATTTTTAAATTCCCGCATCAGGAGAGTAATATATTCAGTTATACCTTTCATCTCGATTTTTTTGTTTGTCTGTTTGAATTGTATGTTGAAAGGATAACTTTTTATTATGTGTGAGCTATTGTTTCGAGAATTTATAAAACTAAACGTCGTAAATGATGATTATTAATATACAAAGCCGGTTTAATTTGGGTTGCATTGAAAATCCGTCCTTTCATCTTTCGAAAACGAAATTACAAATCACTCGCGGAGCTTATATACAGAAACCGAGTTTATTCAAAAACAAATTTGCCAGCGTGGCAAAGTCGTGAGATCTAGTAACTCTAGAATAAATCGAGTTTCTAGTTTTTGGTTCTATTGTGAATATAAAAATAAAACTTGCTTTATGACTTTGATTCGTATTTCAGGTTATGTGTATGCACAGTTTTTTTGTATCATCATCATAGAGGGCGATCACTCGATACCGAGTGGTAATTTGCGATTCCCTGTTAAGTAGTTCTTGAAACTGTTAATGGAAGAACTGTCAACTTCAACAACTACCTATCTATGAAATATGACTAAAATATAGAAAGCCTCTATATTGTTTAATGATCTCTATCGCAATATGGAAACTCTTCAATCCAAAATCCAGATTAGTTGGTTCAATGAATCAAGCCCCGTGTTTATCCTGTGTGAAATAGACTTCTCTATGCACCCTATTTGGGACCAGTAAGAACTTTTTCCAATATAGTGAATGGGAATGAAGTATGTATCGACCGTACATTTCCCAGAGAGAAGTATAGCCTTGAGGCATTCTTATCGTTAAAACGGGAAATTGAAAATTTACTTTGTATATTGGAAATATAGGTGCTATATTTATTTTATTAAAAACCGTGTCTCGGCAATATCTCGTTTTCATCCATTGAAAAAACACAGACCGTCATAAAGTCCTCAGTAAAAGGTCTGTATAAATCAAATAAAACAATCCTCTCAGACTTTAATTCAGTGCTTGGGACTGAAAGATTGATGAAGACTAGAAATTTAGTGAAATTGAAACGGAGGCTACTTTAAGGACCGACTAGTTCAGTTAAAATATTTATTGCTTCGCTTTCACAATAAGCTCTCTTAAGTACCTACCTACTTAATTTTGATTTGTGAGACCTTTCCAATACATTTCAATGAATAATTTTCTGTTATTCTGCGAAGATGTCGTTAATAATAATAATAATAATAATGTTTTTCTACAAACGTGTTAAAAATGCCATTTTTAATACCCTCCCGTAGCATTAAAAATGTTACTTTATCGCACTAGTGCCATAAAGTCTTTATAGCACTAGTGTTAAAAATTAAACATCAAATTTTGAGAGCGAACGTCAAAAAAAATTTGTATTTTTAGTTATTTACATTGATATTAATGGTGAAATTTGAACAACTGAGGTAGCCCGATTGGCCGCCTCATCTATATTTTTGAAGGGATCGATGCAACCCTCTTTTTCTTCTGTATTTTATTGCATTTTTAGCAAAAAGCATTACTGACCACGACAGACTTTCAAGAAACTGACAAGACATTTCATTACCTGTAGAACAAGGTGCTGGTTGTATGGATTTTTTGACAAATGTCAAATTCAATAATTTTATGTAGGAAATATGCTTCCAATTTATTATTTATTAAAAAAATCCAATTTGTTACTGGTTATTGCTTTTTATTGCCGTTTGTAGAAAAAATATTGTATGATATTTGTGTTAAAAGTATTTTTAAGGCACTTATGTGAATTGCAGAATTCGCTTCGCTCATTCTGTAAACTTTCACATGCGTGCCTTAAAAATGTACTTTTAACACTTATCTCATAAATAACTATTTTATTACGCATGCATCATAATCAACGATTATCGCACGCTCAGCGTGCATAAAATGAGGTTTATGATGCGCCTTCCTTTTCAAAGGTTTGCTATAGAAACGTTTGATCCTTTACCTGGTATTTACTTGCCGTTGATAA